TTGCTTTAGCACAGTCTATGCTTATATGCTTTCGTTGCTCATTGCTATTTTTTATCAAGCTGTATGGGAATACCTGTTTGAGAATATCTTACAGGAATGATTAATGTGCTGCATTTTTTCTCCGAGATATTTCAGATTCTAATCCTTTTTTCTTTTTAATGAAAATGTTTTAATTTGAAGGTATGTTTCATACTTCATGTATTGATTTTTGGGGGCAGATGGGTGTAATTTTTAATCTATTGTTTTAAGATATAAGGTATGAGACAGTTCTTTGAATTTGAAATTTTCTTTGCTTTTACATATGGAATAGGTTCTCATGCAAAATATGAAGGAGGTTTGTGAGTGAGGAGACTAACAATTCAGAAACTATAAGGAGAAAAGGGAATTTGAAATTTTAAATCATTTTAATTTGGCTCCTAGAAAAAGTTTCTAGACACACACATCTAGACACACACACACACATAGACACACACACACACATAGACACACACACACACAATAGACACACACACACATAGACACACACACACATAGAACACAACAACACATAGACACACACACACATAGACACACACACACATAGACACACACACACATAGACACACACACACGCATAGACACACACAGCACGCATAGACACTCACACAGGCATAGACACCACACAGGCATAGACACACACACAGGCATAGACACACACACAGGCATAGACACACACAGGCATAGACACACACAGGCTAATAACACCACACAGGCATAAACACACACAGGCATAACACACACACAGGCAAGACACACACAGGCATAAACACACACACAGGCATAACACACACACAGGCATAGACACACACACAGGCATAGACACACACACAGGCATAGACACACACACAGGCATAGACACACACACAGGCATAGACACACACACAGGCATAGCACACACACAGGCATAGCACACACACAGGCATAGCACACACACAGGCATAGACACACACACAGGCATAGACACACACACAGGCATAAACACACACACAGGCACAGACACACACAGGCATAAACACACACACAGGCACAGACACACACACAGGCATAGACACACACACAGGCATAGACACACACACAGGCATAGAACACACACAGCATAGCACACACACAGGCATAGGCAACACACACAGGCATAGACACACACACAGGCATAGACACACACACAGGCATAGACACACACACAGCATAGACACACACACAGGCATAGACACACACACAGGCATAGACACACACACACACACACACAACACACGACACACACAACACACACAACACACACACACACAACACACACACACACAACACACACACACACACACACACCACACACACAAACACACACACAACACACACACACACACACAAACACACACACACAAACACACACAACACAAACCAACACACACACACAGCACAAACACACACACACACACACAAACACACACACACACAACACACACACACCACACACAAACAACACACACAAACACACACACACACAACACACACCTCTCAACACACACACACACACACACACACACACATCCACACACACACACACACACACAACACACACACACACACACACACACACACAACACACACACACACACAACACACACACACACAATCACACAACACACACACACACACACACACACAACACAACACACACACACACACACAACACACACACACACACACACACACACACACACACACACACACACACACACACACACACACACACAGACAACACACACACACACACACACACACACACACACACACACAACACACACACACACACAACACACACACACACACACACACACACACACACCACACACACTTATAGACACACACACACAAACACACATGCACAGGCACACATACGCATAGACACACATACGCACAGACACACATACGCACAGACACACATACGCACAGACACACATACGCACAGACACACATACGCACAGACACACATACGCACAGACACACATACGCACAGACACACATACGCACAGACACACATACGAACACACACACAAGCACACACACACACACACTTATAGACACACACACACAAACACACATGCACAGACACACATACGCATAGACACACATACGCACAGACACACATACGCACAGACACACATATGCACAGACACACATACGCACAGACACACATACGCACAGACACAGATACGAACACACACACAAGCACACACACACACACGTATGTGATTATCCAATATGCTTTCTTTAAAGTTTCTTATTTATCTACAGATTTCCTACTAACACTATGAGTTCTAGAATGAGCATTGCTTATTAACGCAAGAGCCTTTTGCATTCGTTCTGCATCCTATTTGCATGAAGAGTCCAGTTTCCTTAATCGTGTTATGAATTTAAGTGCTTTGTTTACTGGGCTGTTACTAACTACATTCATTGTCATGCAACTAAGTTTGGGACACATTATCAAAAGCAATTTGAATATACATTGATCCAAAGATAGGAGGTGCAGAAGCTTGAGCATCAAAAGACGGTTCACAGCTGATTTCGTCAAGTGCGGATAGAAATATAGGGTTAGAAAATAAGACAATTATATATTAGATGTTTGGGATAGTTTGAGAATTTACTATTTCCCTCAGGTTCTAGGTATCACCCGGCCTGATTTAACCCCTTATTGACAATGTGTAGCTAATCGTACCATAATAAACTAATCCCAAATGCTCCAGGTTGTGCTCTGAAATGTTTGATTGTTTGGCTTAGTTGTACCATTCAGGATCCACAGCCCCCCCCCCCCCCACACACACACACACGGGCTTAAAGCTGTGTTTTAGGCTCCAGTACAGGAGAACCACAAATGTTGAAGGAAAACATATACAGAGTTAGGAAAATATGTTCTCCATGCTTCTAATTTTTCACCTGGGCAATGGCTGTGCGCACACCTTGGCTTTGGCTTGGTTTGACATGGTCAGATCTGTTACCATTGGGTAAAAAAAAGAAAAAGAAATATTAATCTAGGATGATGTTTATGGTTGAGATGTTTCCTGCAGCAGCTTTATCCACCAGTCAAAAACACAACAAATGTAGGAACTTGAAAGGATTAGCTTAATGGTTGGCCTGTCTCAAATTACAGGATATAGCTGTGTTTTATCCAAGGACTTGAGATATGTGATAGGGATTTGATGAATGTTATTATTTGTATGATTATAATGCACTGCAGTCTAATGTATATTATGTAATTGAGAATGAAAAGATATTGCAAACAGAGGTAATTTAATAAGACTTATATTTACTCCAAATATTTATTGATACGGATTGCATAGAAGCTGTTCAAAATTATGACATTCACACTACTACTACTAATTATTTATATACTAGAACAGTGCACATACACAGATTTTCAACAAAAAAATGTGTAGAAATATGATATATGATATGATTTGGGGGGAAATTGAAATTGGTATTGTAACTGAATTTGGTTGGAATTATTTTCATGTTTTTAATTTTTTTTCGTGAGACTTGGACGTCCTAGTCTCAGTATAGAGAACATACATTTGGATCCCTGAAACAAGCACACTAGAATGCGTATATCACAAAACTACATTTGTCATTACACATTTTAACAATTCACAGGGTGGCAGCTATCCTTTATTTCAGTCGGGTTTTAGTGGATAGTTTATTGATAACAGAGCATATCCTTATATTTGCTTGATTCTCCTTTTTTAAGCCTGTTCATTGGTAATTGTCTCTGAATTCTGGTTCACTTTTATCAGTGATAGAATATTTAAAGTGGTATTCAAATGCTATTAGTTTTATTTATTAGGTACTTGGTTAACTTCTGTTTTAGTGACTTGTGTCCATATCTCTAAATAGAGCATTTTGCTTTTTAGAAAAGAGATTGTACCAAGGAGAACCCTAAAGGGATTTGTAAGCCGAAACGCAAGTACTAGCTATAGAAGCATGCAGATTAAAATTTATCTCTGGGATTAGTGAGTTGAAGTTAAGTAATTGACTTTATTCTTGAAAAGAAAGAGTGGGATAGAGAGAAAAAGACCCCCCCCCCCCACACACACACACATGCAAGCTGTGTATATTTATGTATGACCATCTTGATTGCTGTAGAGGTTTACATTCTGAATCATCCTTTGTCATGATATGATAAACCAAATAGTTGTCATTCATTGATCTGTTTGTCCTTTATTTTTATTCTTAAATCACTGTCATCTTTGTTTTTTGGGGGTAATGATTTTTTTATTTATTAAAAGCATCGTATCCCTAGCAATTATGTGTTATTTTCTTTGGTTCCTCTAGTTTGATTTAATCCCTTTCTCCAGTTTTATTACAGTTCCTTCTGACCAAGATGTCCTTCTCTCCCCTTCTCTCCCCCTTCTCTCCCCCTTCTCCCCCACTTGCCCTTTCTCTCCCTGTCCTCATTTGCCTATGTTGAGGAAAGATACCAAGGATGTAGTAGTTACGAGTAAAGGCAAGACCATCTTAAGCAAAATATTCCCCCTCCCTCCTCAGTATTTTCATCCCCTCTCCCCCTCAGTGGCCAGTAGCTGTTCTTGACTTCCTTTGCATTTTTTTCCATCTATGTAGTATATTTAGGATTTTCTTAGTTATTTGCCAGCTGCTGCAACAGC